AAGAATATTTTGGATCTCTTGGAGTCGGCTCAGTTTACAGATTGTGTTCCGTGTTCTACTCCTATGGAACAGAATCTTAAATTAAGCAGAGATGGGGGAGAACAGCTCGAAGATCAGTCATTGTATTGTAGTCTGGTTGGCAGCCTGATTTACTTAACTCATATGCGCCCTGACATTGCATATGCGGTGCAGGTCGTAAGTCAGTTTATGGGGATAGCAACTAATCTACATTTAGCGGCTGTTCATCATCTCTTGAGGTACCTAAAGCAGACGCAAGATGTAGGATTATATTTTCCGGCAACAAGCGACCCTGTGGTAGAGCCTTTTGCTGGTGCAGATTATGCTGGCTATATGGATACTCGACGGTCGACATCTGGCTGGTGTATCCGCATTAGGCAATCTTTTGTTTCCTGGAGGTGTAAGAAATAGGATCGAGTCTCGAAGTCGTCAACAGAAGCATAGTACCGATCTATGTCTGAGGTGAGTTCTGAAATGGTATGGCTTCATCGATTACTTGGAGAATTGGGTGTTGCTTGTCGAGTCCCAATGAGAATATATGGGGATAACACGAGTGCAATCCAGATTGCTGTTAATCCGGTGCTGCATGATAGAACTCAGCACATTGAGGTGCATGTTCATTATATTAGACAATTAGTGGCTGAAGGAGTTATTCAGATTGGGTATCTCTCAACTAAAGATCATACTGCAGATTTGCTTACGAAGGCGGTTGCTTCAAGTAAGCATTGGTACTTGTCTTCCAAATTGATGTTGCGTACCGCACATCAATTTGAGGGAGGGTGTTGATTTGTATTGTTGAGGTAGCATTATGTAATTAGCCACTAAATTGGCTAGGTTTATGTTTCCCCTATATTAAGCCAATCACGGCTAAGCTCTTGTATCGAAGCCATATTGTTTATAGTGAAGCTTTTGGAGAGCACAGTCTCTCCCGTGGATTAGTCCTGAGATTCAGGGATATCACGTTAAAATCGTGTGTCGTTCTTCTAGTTTCGTACTATTTGACAATAAGTTTCTCAAATGATTGCATTACTTGTCTAAGTTATCCAAACCTCTAATCGGTCACCCCATAATCATTGAGAGTGAAAGAAAGAGGGGGACGGCAATCAGTAATTCCAAATCCAGAAAGGTGTAAACTTTATCAGAGTAAACTGTGAGAAACTTCGATGTCTAATCTAGTAGACCAGCTAACTGCCCACCCCAGTTTGTCTTACTTACTAACAGGCACAACCGCTTCTTTCTGACTTGGAAACTCTCTAATCGACAAAAACGTGTTACATACGTGTGATTGCATTATTGCCCTGAATCTGTATATCCTTGTTTAGTTTCCTCTTGACGCATTCGCCACAAACACTGCCTTTTGTGTTCAAATGAGACAAAGCATTTCAAAGGCTGGTCACTAGCTTTCTTTCCCCTCAGTACACGCCGTGCACTATGTGTTTCCCCACTAGTTAATAGCAGCATGCTCTGCTTTTAGGTTTGTTTGTTTTTTCCTCATTGTCAAGTAAATTGGTGGGGTGGATGGAAGGTTCCAACATCCCGTTCCTAGCCTGTGGAGACCTTAGCGGCTACGACCCATAGATCCCAGAAAGCCAGAAGGGTTATCAGAGCTTGGATCTACAGACATCTACTTCTATTGCCCCCTCTGCTTTTAAGAGAGGCAGAAAGCCCTGGAGATGAAGAAAGCCTCAGCCCAGAAAGAGTGTAGTCAAGATACTCAATTCCCAGCAAAGTTTATAGGCCTCAAGTGTATTCCAATTTCATGCGAAAGCCATATATTGGATATGGATGAGATGGGATTATAGAAAAGGCATGTTTGATGAAGTAAATGTTGGGAATTGGGATTGATAATTATAACTTCTTTTATGCGTTGTATAATTCGAAGATTCTAGGAGCATGAATTTACTGTTGCAGTTGTACACAGGCTTTGAATCCTTCTTAGATTGATAGCTTGACTACCTTGAATGTGTAAATGTAGGAGAGAATATCTAGATGGTACAAGATGTCACCTCTACAGTAGATCGATGTTAACATTTGCAAAATGAAAGTGCTTTATGAATATCATATAAGTACTAGTATAATACTAGTATAAGCTGGCTCACTATCGCTTTGTGCGTGAGTGATAATATGATATTTTAAAGATTGATAGTTTGAATTTTGACCAAAAGCAAAAAGTAAAGAGTTTGTCATCTAGAACTCCATGTAGTCGACGCAGAGATGAACTTTAATAATGGAGAAGGGTCATCGAGCAAATGATTTCTATGTTTAATCTTCTCTCTAATTTGTATTCTTTATACTTTGTTTTTTTTTTAAAGTTCATCTTCATTCTCCTTTTTATGAATTTTCGAAACTAGTCGTTGGTTTGAGGATGGTCAACTACTCACTATGGCCAGGTCGAATTAGGTTGAACCGACCCAAATTTTTTGTAACATCATGTTCAACTCTCTTTGATCGTGTTGAACCGAGTTTGTAACAAATTCACAACCGACCCGACCCGCTAATTACAAAAGCGAATAAAACTCACTCCCGCCCGAAAATGTGTAAGCAACGGGTTCAAGTCGTTTTGATCAAGTTGAATTAGGCTGGGTACCCATAGGTTTGGGTCTAAACCAAAAGGAAAAGAATAAATAAAAATGCACTAAAGCTGATGAACTCGCTCTCTACCGAAAATTCTACACACCGAGTTCAATTCGCATTAACTGGTTCGAACTGAGTTTTTAACAATTCACACTCAGCTCAACATGTCAACTCTAAAGTAAGATAAAACTCGCTCTCTACACAAAACTCGCAAGGACTAGGACCGGTTCAATTGTCATTCTCTCAATCAAAAGGAAACGGAGAAACATAAAAATATTGTAGCGCACAATCTCGATCAAAAACTCGTAAACACCGTGTTTAGCTCGCTTTGACTGGGTCGAATCGATTTTTTAACAAATTCATACTCGAACCAACATACCAACTACAAAAGCAGATAAAACTCGCTCTCGATGCAAACCTAGTCAATGCGATGGTTTGGGTTCAATTGGCATTCTTAACGAAAGGAAAAAAATAGAAATTTAAAAATACTAAAATCGGGTTCAAAGTCACTTTGACCTGGTCGAATTATGTTGGATACTCATGAGTTTAAGTTCCATTGTCATGCTTAACCAACAAAAAAAGAGAGATAAGAAAACACTAAAGAATATGAAACTTGGTCTCGATACAAAATTCAGCAACACAAAGCAGATTTTGTATGAATTTTCACTAGTGGTCTTAGGATATGGTGGATGGGTACAACTTAGGATTCCACCGAGAGTGTTTGGAGAAGTGTTGTGCATTATTGGGCGAATGCGAGGATTGTGCATAATAGATATGGTTTCAATTGTCATACTTAACTAACAGAAAAAGAGAGATAAGAAAATACTAAAGAATATGAAACTCGGTCCCGAAACAAAATTCAGCAACAAAAAGCAGATTTGGAATGGATTGGTAGCGGTCTTGGGACACGGTGGATCAGTACAACTTAGGATTCCACCGAAAGTGTTTGGAGAGGGTTGTGCATTATTGGGCGAGTGCGAAGATTGTGCATAATAGATATGGTATGAATTTTCGGTAGCAGTCGTGGCAAACGGTGGAAGAGGACAGCTTATAATTGCCTCGACAATGTTTCGAGATGGGTTGCGAATTGGTGGGCCAAGACGATGATTTGGGCAAAAGATCAAAGACGAAAACCTAATGGATAATTGTTGCAACAGGGAAAGCAATGAACAATAGATAAAAACTTAGTAGATAATAACTATTATGGGAAACCTAATGGGCAATAGATGTAGACACGACAGACAATAGATGAACTCATAGGTTACCTAATATGCAATAGATGTAAACCTAATAGACAATAGATAAACACATAGATTATAGAATAAAATAATGGGGTAAAAAAGTGACTTGAAACTTGCCCATTTGCACTTGAAATAATTTGGTAGTCACTAATAAATAATAACTTCAATGTCGACTTTTATATATTATAAAATTAATATGAATTTCTCATCAAAGTTGGAACCATGCTATTCGAGGGCTGTAATGCTTCTAATTCTAACTTACTTCTGGAATCTATAAATTAGTCATTGGCGGAGCTAGGTGAGGCGATGTGGGCACTTGGAAAATGAATACATATGGAAAATGATGAATTTTTAAGGTGAGGTTATTTACTTTTGAACCATGGATCCCCTCTACACAAGATAATACACCGTTGAAACACTCTTTAAACTTAATTATGTTTGGACCCCACTAAAATATATTTCTGGCTACGCCAATCAAATTAGTCTACAGTTTCACCACTGTCAGCCAAGTTCGACTGTTACCTCACATTTGGTTTGGACTTTGGACCAAATTAGATCATTTGTTGCAGGAAGGTCCGACATGGCGGGGCAGGGCAGGTATTGGAGATTCCCCAGAACGATGCAGCAATTGCAAGAAATCCGTAAATGTAACCTCGGAATTGAGGCACCGAGGCCCTACCAACTAACTATCACCATTGATGAAATGATGATTCACCCAATTGGCTTGGGTCTGAAGAAAGAAAGAAAGAAAGGGTCTCCATCGCATTAGTTGGAATCAATCCTGTTGACGTTTCACGCAGCCCACAAAATCTCTGCTTTTTCAAACTCGGTTTGGTAGAACCAAGGAAATCAAAGGCAGATGGAAAATATAAACAAACCAGAATATATAGGAATAGGATTCCCGCCTCCGCGGGGCCTGCCCTCTCTCTCTCTCTTTTCTGTCCTATTCATTCAACACCAAATTCCACCAATTTGGTTAGCAAATGCTAAACGGCTTGGGGTAGGATGTTCTTACCATCACATTTTCTACGATCCACATTCTATGAGGCAAGAAGGAGGAAACCCTTTTTTTTTAATGAATAATCACTGTTCTTAAAAATCCAATCTTTAAATAAATTGCTAATTTGATAATAATTACCTTAATGCTGATCCTTAATTTCTTCAAATTTACAAATGAACCATACGCGACGACTCTGTTCTAGTTGAAACAGAGCTCGACCGGGACAGAGAATTACACGACGACGAGGAGTTCAAGAACTCTATACAATCCTCAATTGCCTCGATCCGCTGCGAGTCAACCGCATCAGCGAGCGACCTCGACCTCGGCAGGTAACTCGGCGGCGGCGGCGGCGGCGGCGACTTCCTTGACTTTCTCCGGAGGGACACGAACCGGAGAACTCGGGCTACTTTGGCGCCGAGTCGCCGGAGCATCCGGCAGGTAGTAGAGAACCTGGAGATGCGGCACCGGAGCCTGAAGCTGAAGATCCCCACGGCGAACGGCCTCTTCCTGTTGACGGAGACTAATCTGCATGAGCCCAAGCTTGCCTGTTTGAGGAACACCGCCGTCGGCTTCTCGGTCGCGTCCGGGGTGAAGGTGACTCGCTTACTCGATTTCCGAGACATTTCTGTTGTTGCAGAGTGCTAAGAAGAAGAAGAAGAGAGAAGGAAGAGAAAATTTTCAAGTTGTGGAAAGGAAGGGGAAGGGGGTGAGATGGTGAAGCGTATTTATTTGGGAAGAGTTTTCAAATAATATGAAACCAAAATGTCGGAAAGTAAAAGGGGTGCGCCAACATGGACGGGTTTACTTTAATGGGGGCTTTTTCAATTGCTTAAAATTCAATGGTTTAGACTTTAGACTATGAATGATGAACCACTAAACCTTTTTTAAGTTTGGTTGTTGGCTATTAACTTTGAATTTAAAATGAGATTAGTTATCTTTTTCTAATCACTCATGAGTATTTATAATCATGAATCGTCAAACCAAATCGTTGAAATTAACAATTCAAAGTATTTTGATTAATACTATGAATGAGATGATAAAGTATCACAAATATTGCTGGCTTAAGGAAGGTTACTATTTGGAGGTTATTTTTTTGGGCTATCAATATGAATGAGTTGGACTACCCGACAACGTTTCTGGTTTAAGGTTTTGAATTTGAATTTTGGGTAGTTATTTTCTACTTTGTAATATTTATTAAATTTGTATTGAATGCAAAATTAGTAGCTTAGAGCAGAAAATAGGAGAAATAATGAGATTAGCTATCTCATAAAATTCTGGATTAATTGGCACCAGATTCGTGGGTCAAATTAATGATGACAAGTCTATTCAATTTTTTTCCAATATTAAACCGGTAAATGTCTGAGCAAATTATATCTACATGCTCGGCGATGAATGTACATATTCTTATTTTTAGCCTACCAGTAATAGTAATCGTATTACTAATAGTATCACAAGGGTTGCGAAAAACACATAGACAAACTAATAAGCTAGTGAAATGATATTTATGTAATAATCATTATTTTATCAAGTAATATATTGATCATTGGTAAAATATTCATAACATAATAGAATTTGCAGGTAGTTTAACAAAATAATACCAATCAAAACGGAAAACCATTCAATATTACCTCGAATAGGCATTTGTTTATGTAATCTAACTATGATACCGTATAGTATCACAAATCATATTAGAGAAAAACTCTGGGTGAAGTCAAAGTCCAAACGTAATTAAAGGAGGCCGGCCGGTGAAAATTCTTATGAGGATAACTTTGAAAATGGTGAGCATTTTATGTGGTTATTAATTCTCAGTTTGTATAAGACTTGGGGAGGCCAAGGTGGCTGGAAAGAAATTAAAAGCAAAACAGGATGGCCATCGTAATCTTCTTTCTCGCTTTTATTATTTTTTCTCTTCCTTTTAGGAGAAATTGATATGTAAAATAGCGTAAAAACAGAAGCACACAACACAGCAATTTACATGATTTCTCCGTTTGATATGAACTCTTTAGTGATAAAAGTATGATTCGTTTAATTAATCCTAATAATTAAGGGATCCTTCGGCTCATATCCGATCAAACTCCACGGAGCAGAAGCTCACTACTTACTCTAATCGTGATCACAATCTGCAAAGGTGTTCTCTGTTCTACTTGCCGCACGCAGGCGGCTATCTCCTAACATACCTTTCTACAGATTACCTAGGGCAATTAGGTTAATCAATGGACAATTACATAGAAGTCCTCAACATAAATAAACGCACAAATGGCACGGCTCAACATAATTGATATAGTGTTTCTTTTGCGATCTGCTGTGCAATTTTAAAGCGATATAGTGCTGCTTTTGAGATGCTGAAATTGGTATTGTTGAAGTTAATGTATTTGGATGAAAATTGACATGGTATTAGTATTTCGATATCAATTACAGAAATCGTGAACATTGAATGGCAACTTATAATTAATCTCAATTCTGATTTCAAAATAAATTTGCTATCTTTTCGGTACAGTAACGATATTTCGGAATACCAAATTAATTATTTTGCAATTAATGATTAAATATATACCTAAACAAATAACGGTTCGAACACCTCTAATCTCGAACATTTTAATACAGTGTAGACTTGTAGGTTTAATTTCATGATTGAAAAGTGTTTGGGGTATTACTAAAGGGGCCCAAGAAGAGCCCATTCAGGTGAAGGTAGCCTAAGGCAATGGGCCAGGAGAAGAAGCCCGCAATTGTTGGGGGCATTACTAAAGGGGCCCAAGAAGAGCCCATTCAGGTGAAGGTAGCCCAAGGCAATGGGCCAGGGGAAAAAGCCCGCAAAGCCCATTGCACTCCAGGCAGTATAGGCATGGAGACAAAGCACTAAGGGCCAAAGAGGTCCAGACTGGCAAGTGGTCCACCACCTGTGGGCGCCTGACAGGGTGGTTGGGGCTTCTGACAGAAGTGAAGGTACAAAGACTTTAATGTGATGGTGACGTGGAGGAGATCCACCTTGAGCTCGGTGAGTATAAATAGGGGCAGTTGGTAGCATTTACACAGGTTGGACTCTCTTACTAAAACTTATAGTTTCATACTTCTCTCTCTATGATTGGAACTAACTTGAGCGTCGGAGGATTAATGGGCCCAGGCGCCCCCCTCAGTGTGTGTATGTAGGTCAGGCGCCTAAGGATTGGCTAGCAGGACCAAGACGCACCAAGGAGCGGGCTTCAAGGTGAGGCGCCTACAGAGCGTTAAGCAGGAATCGGGCGCTCAGAAGATCAGGCTCCAAGGTGAGGAGCCTAAGGTGTGACCAGTAAGGCGAATGTATTTGGGCACAAACAATTGGCACGCCAGGAAGGGGAATATAACCAAGAATCGTGAGTGTGGAGGCGCCCATGAGTGGAGAGGGAGAGGAGATTACGGAAGCCCAGTCTTAGCGGATGAGAGGGCTGACGCCCGAGATGGACAAAGGTGAGGAGAGCGATGGTATGTTTCGAGGGTCGGAAGGCGCCTCAGTCACAAAGAATGAGTTGTTTAGGATCATCGAAGATCAGGACGAGGCGATCAATGCGCTTTGACGGGAGGTTGAGGTCTTGAAGAGAGGATAAGGGATGGCGCCCAGCCCAACCTCGAAGAAAAGGGAAAGAGTGGTGGAAACAAAAAGCGAGTCTGGGCAGTTGAGGCGCCCAAGCGTCAAGATTTTGGAAGTGTGAATTTACGTGTGTCGTCAGGCGCATTTGAGGAGCCCAAGCCTATGGCGCCCAAGCGTCAAGATTTTGGAAGTGTGAATTTACGTGTGTCGTCAGGCGCATTTGAGGCGCCCAAGCGTCAAGATTTTGGAGTGTGAATTTACGTGTGTCGACAGGCGCATTTGAGGCGCCCAAGCCTATGGCACCCAAGCGTCAAGATTTTGGAAGTGTGAATTTACGTGTGTCGTTAGGCGCCTAACCTCGAAGGAAAGGGAAAGGGCGGTGGAAACAAAAATCGAGTCTGGGCAGTTGAGGCGCCCAAGCGTCAAGATTTTGGAAGTGTGAATTTACGTGTGTCGCCAGACGCATTTGAGACGCCCAAGCCTATGGCGCCCAAGCGTCAAGATTTTGGAAGTGTGAATTTACGTGTGTCATCAGGCGCCTGACCTCGAAGGAAAGGGAAAGGGTGGTGGAAACAGAAAGCGAGTCAGGGCATTTGAGGCGCCCAAACCTACGGCGCCCAAGCGTCAAGATTTTGGAAGTGTGAATTTACGTGTGTCGTCAGGACGAGGCGATCAAGGCACTTCGACGGGAGGTTGAGTCCTTGAAGAGAGGAGAAAGGATGACGCCCAGCCCAACTTCGAAGAAAAGGGAAAGGGTGGTGGAAACAGAAAGCGAGTCTGGGAATTTGAGGCGCCCAAGCGTCAATATGTTGGAAGTGTGAATTATACATGGCGCTTCAATACCACAAGTCAAGCGCCTACATCACCTCGGTTCAATCTTGGACTTGAAAATTCCTTGCAGGCGCCTAGCCTTGACCCTGTAGGAAGCATCAACTTGGGCTTCACCACACTCAAAACAAAGCTAAATTTGAAAGGCGGTTTAAGGAAAATTGGAAAGAGGGAGGCATTACGCCACTAGTCGGCATCGCCAAGTTGGAGGCATAGTAGGCAGGGGCAAGAAGAAGATGAACATATGAGGCACCCATTGGAGATGAGGAAATAAAAAAAAGAGGCGACGAGGCGTCCGACTGCCATCGAATAAATTTTATTGTATAGTTGGGCGAGAAGAACCGAGGAGGAAGAGTGGTGGTGACGCTTGAGACAATTCAAATGGGAGAGGAAGAGGAAGCGCATGGCACAAAATAAAGAAGGAAAAAGAGGCGCTTTTAAAATTAAGAAAGAGAAGGCTTTGTGCCACGGCTGACTGGCGTCGCAAAGCTAGAGGCGCAATAGAGGGACATTTAGAAAGAAGGAAAAAGAGGCACCGAGTCCATCTGCTCGACACAAGAAGCACTATGTTCGTCGCATCATGACAGGCGACTCTAACCCAACATGGGCTTCAACATGGAATCAGGCGCCTATACTAGTGGACTACTATGAAATTCTCATTTCACCGGAGGCACCTATAATTAAAAGAGCAGTTCAAGTTAGGATAACGTCTGGGCACCCATCTCCTATTTGGGCTCGACGCCTCCCTGTCTGGTTTAAAAGAGGCCTTAAGCGCCTAATTTCATTGAGGTGCCCATTTCATCTATGAGTCAGATGTCTTCTCCTATTTTTATCTTGAAATTTTGGAGCAAGTTTAAAGCCCAAAACAAAGAGGCTCGTTAAGCCCAGGTGCTCGGTTCGACTTATTAAAGCCCAGATGCTCAGTTTAAAACAGTAGGCTAATAAAATGCCTGCGCGAAGCTTTGCACCTCATACCTTCTAAAGAAGAAGGGCGCCTACGCCACCAGGCTAAGTTACAAGTTGTCGTCATCTATTCGCATGCATCATTATTTCACTTAGGAGCCTCGCAAGCGTTAGCATGGGCTTCGCCATGGTTGGCATGAGCTTCAACACACTCAAACCAAGCTAAGTACTTTGTTTTTTCGTGAAATTTGGTGTTACCTCCACGATATATCGCTTTGTTTTGAAATGTTTGGTGCGCCCAAATAAAATTTTTTGTTCGAGATACTT